AGGCCCTGCGCGTCCGCGTCTGCTGTGTGCCAGGCCCTGCGCGTCCGTGTCTGCTGTGTGCCAGGCCCTGTGCACAGCGCTGGGGACACAAAGATCCATGGACACTTTCCAAGCTTCAGGGAGGGGACGCAGAGGGGAAAGCAGGTGTGAGCACCAAGAGGTGGCCTGCAGGGCGGGGGGAGTGTGTTGGGGTGCTGGGGGGTGTTGTCAGGGGGCTTTATGAAGGGGCTGGTCTCACCCTAGACCAGAAAGGGTGGGTAGGAAGTTATGAGACAGAGATTCGAATGTTCTGTGCACGATGCCCAGCACTTGGAGGATTTAGATTTAGCCAAGGAGGAATCAGGGGCCTACTGGATTTGGGGGGTAAAAAATGACAACATTAACAGAATTTAAAAACACTGACAGTCTCCTCTGAATAGGGAAAGAAATTCATCACTTAGATTGAAATTCAGGCTCTCGACTGTCCTTCCAGACAACGCTGAGATTTGCAAGACGGGCAGATGAGACCGTGCACCTGCTGCATTATAAGAAGCGAGTCAAAGGAGAAAAGAAAGTAAAACTTGCTACTGACAGCAAAGTCGCTGTGGTTCTGGGGCCCATCCTTTGCTGCCTGCCCACACTTTCTTTCTGACTCATTTCCTTACTCAGAGAAAATAGTTTGGAGAAGGACAAGAACCCCCTTCCTCCCCGGTATGTCTTCAAAGAAGACAACCGTCTGATGCAGAACGTGCGGGGCTTCTGTGATGGGGGTGTGACGGGACACAATATGCCTGAGAAGTGTCCTCAGAGGCGAGGGCTCGCTGGACCCGGGACCTGCCAACTACAGAAACGGTGTCCCTTTCCACAGGTGTGCAGAATGAAACTCGAGGCCGACAGAATGCTCATAGAAGATCTGGAAAGTATTTCCTGGCAAGAAAGAATCCTAGCAAACCTTTGAGTCAGCAGAATGTTGCGACCTCCAGTTCACTGACCGCCTGTCCCGCCCCCGGCCCCGTGTTGGGGGTACACGGGTAAACCGCTGTGAACCCCTGAAGGGCGCACAGTCTGCTCGGGGATGGAAACAAAGTGGGTGGAAAAGACCGACCACCTGAGAACAGGAGAGTAATACCTACTAGGTCCTGATGTTGTGCCAGGCTCCGTGCTCAACATCTCATGTATTATTTTCCCTAAACCGTGCAATAATCCCACCGTGGGGTCTGTTACCCCCATTTCACCAGACGAGGGAAGTTCAGAGCAGTTGGGTGGTTTGTCCCGGGTCACAAAGCTAGGAAGTGACAGAGCAGGAAGCTGACCCAAGGGCCCTGACCGTGGCCACTCAACCTGGGCAGAGAGCTCTGTCTGTGCATTCACAGGATTAAAAAGGGGGCTTCAAAAACCCTGGTGCCCTGGGACCCCCCCAGATGACCAAGTCAGAACATCGGGCTTGGCCAAGGCATCAGGGTGTTCAGAAAGATCCTGGGTCCCCCACCTGCCAGGCAGCAGGAGCAGAGAGGAGGGCCGGGGCTCTGCTGGGATGAGACCCCCGGTTGCCAGGCTAACGGGCAGGGATCGGTGGGAAGTGCGGCCAGCTGCTGAGCTCCTGGACAAGGCTGGCTCACCCAGCAAGGAGCCCCGAGACAGCCCTGCTGGGAAGGTTCCGCAGAGCCTGGAGCCGGGCTGGAGCCCGTTCGGGCGGCTGGTATGGGCCGGCTTCCCAGGCCTGAGGTCTGTTGAGGGGCTGTGTGACTTCACAGCCCGATTTACCTGTGGGGATGGCTGCAGAGCTCAGTGTCCAGCCTCAGGGAAATGGTTAAGAAACATCTGGACAGATTATTGAGGGATCAAGTAAAGAAAGACTGTGGAGAGTTTATCATGAGGTGGAAAATGTTAGGTTTAATTAAATTTATGTTAAATGTCAGATTTTTTAAAAGCAGCATCGTGTGCAATGGCACGTGCAGTGAGCCCACGGCAGGAAGACAGGCGCGGTGTAGACTGTGTCCAGGGCAGAGAATTTTGTTCGGACCTCCCGCATTATTGTCTGGTCACAGCTCTGTGCCAGCCGCCTGCGACTGCCCTCCCTCTAGAAGACACGAAACCTGCTCACAGCAGCCTAGGACCGCTGAGTGCATTTGCCATCCTCTGGGAACCGTGTGAGGCAGAGCACAGGAGCAGGAACACACTCACATTCTAAACTTGGGTCCGAGAAGGAGCCTACCTGGTAGGCGAACGATCCAGAAGGTAGGATTGCTGTTTCCTCTGGCCTAAGGTCACCACTTTTCACCCTGAATATTACCAAGATCACGGCATGGCCCGGGGAAGAGCAGTGGTCTGTCCGTGTGGACAAGGCAGGTGCATCCCCAGGCCACAGGTGTGGGCCTCCTCACAAACTAGACCCTGTGCCTCCTCTACACATTTTGGGGAGTCCCTTTTGGGGACCACAGCACCAGGTTTGGAGAGAACAGGACAAAGCAGTCAGGTAGGAAACCTCCAAACCATGTTGTCACCATCGTGAGATCCAGACGTGGGGCGTAACTTAAGGGCATGACATGAGACCATCGGGCTGTTGCAGGAGCACCGGGGGCTGGGCTCAGGTGGGCCCACCGGCTCTGTGGGGCCTCCCGGGGCATTAACTACAGTGACTTCTCAGAGCAGGGAAGCAGAGTGAGTTTCAAAAGCATTTAGACATTCAAACTCGAGAGAGAAGTTCTGGTGGCAATTTTGAGAAATTTAGTAGGAACGTGTTTCTTATAATGAACGAGGGAACAGGGTTGTCTTTGACATCATGTACCATCCATGCAAATCAAGCAACATGTTATAAACTGGAAACACTATGTGCCAGGCAGAGCTGAGCATGGCACTCAGTAAGGTACGCCCCCCGAAACGTGGCCTTGCAGTCCCGCATGCCACTTCCCAGGGCCAGTCATCACAAGCATGTGCAGCAGGTGGAGAGAGCAGAATCTCCAGAGAGTGAAAGCAGATGACTCACCAAGACCAGACGCAGCAAGAGTGGTGCCCCTCTCTGCCTTCCTCCTCCCATGACGGACCCATGAGAACACATTCCATGAGCGCGCAGTAGCTGCCGGCTTCCAGGTCAGCTGCTCAGTCGGCCTCGTCGTGGGTGGAAGGGAGACTCTGGCGCGTGCTAATCTGCTCCGGCCGATCGTGCAGAACAGCTGAAGGAAATCCCGAAGACCGCGTGTGTAAGAGCATTGGCCGCAGGGGTGCCGACGTGGGGGTCCCGATCCTTGCGGCACAGCCCCAGCGTGTCCTCTCCCTGCACCCCTCAGGGGTGGTCTTTCGCGCTCAGACCGCTGCCTTTCCTGTGCCCCGGGGCCCGGCGGGCTGGCCGGCCTCAAGAGTAGGAGTCTTTGACGTCCCCCGGGGCCTCGGTTTCCTTCCCTCGGCCTCTGAGGGTGTTGAAGACCTTGCGGTAGGAGTATCTGAAAGCGGGGCTGGAGAAGCAGTACACCACCGGGTTCAGCACGCTCTGCAGGTAGGTGAGGCCGTTGGTCACGTCACACACATGCACCATCGCTCCCAGGAGCCCACAGCTGCCCGCCCTGCGGAAGGCGGCCACCAAGATCCGGGCCAGGAAGCTGGGCAGAAAGCACACTGCAAACAGGACCACGACCACCGTCACCAGTGCCCGGGCCCTCTGCAGCTTGGGCTGTTTGTCCGGGTCTCGGAGTCGCCTCTGGAGGGTCCTGATGATCCTGGCATTGCAGAACAGGATGAGGCCAAAGGGAAGGACAAACTGCAGGAAGAACAGTGCTTCCTGCCAAACGATGCTGAAGGAGACTTCTCCCGCGGGCTCCAGACCTGGGCATGTGGCCTCCGAGACGAACAGGCTCTGGTGGGTGAGGCCGAGCAGCAGTAACCACACGAAGCCGGACACCCCCCAGGCCGCCCGGGGGGACGTGAGGCTGACCTTCAGCCGAGGGTGGACCACTCGGAAGTAACGGTCTAAAGCCACGGCCGTGAGGAAGGCGACGCCCACCCCGCGGCTGAGGACCTGCAGGAAGAACAGGCTTTGGCAAGACGCATGTCCAAGGCTCCACGTCTTGTGTTTCAGGTAGAAAGCGGCATGGAAGGGCAGGCAGAAGGTCAGCAGGAGGTCGGCCACAACCAGGTTGAGCAGGTAGATGGCGTAGGGTTTCCACACCTGCAGGCGGAAGAAGAAGGTCCACAGCGCCACGGCGTTGCCCAGAAGGCCCAGGCCGCCCTCCAGCAGGAGCAGGGTGGCCACGGACATCTCCACCACGACGCTGGGCGCCGAGCAGTTGGCGGGGGCCATGTCGCCGATCCTGCCGGACTCCACTTTAAAGTAGCAGAGCGCAGAGAGCCGGGGCTTCGGGGGATGCTCCTTCCCACAAAGTGAAAGACACGGGCTTTTTCCTGCCACAGGATCTGTGAGTTCTGCATTTTCTCAGTAAGAAAAACTACTGAACCAGCATCAGAATAAAGTCAAAAGCAAACTAAAATTTGTCTGGGGAAAGAGGATCAGGGGGAAGGGAAAAAACCCTGGCAGTTTTGTTCTCTTTTGTTTTGCCCTAAAAAGGGGAAACTGTGTTTCACTTCACATCATCTGGCTTTTCGCTGGAACGACCATGTCCTGAATGTCTGGGTGGGCACAGGTGCGCGTCCATGGCTACTGGCCACGGAGCCAGAGCGGCTTCATCACAGCAGGACGTCTTGTCTTTACACAGTTAAAATAATGATGCAAACCGACGTCTTCTCTAGTTTGAGTTTGCCTCGTGGGGAAGCGCTCCTCTTCTGGAGGAAGGACACTGACTGAGCCTTTCCTGCACGGGGCTCCATTTCACACACGGGCACTCAGATCTGATCCCTGACATCACAGAGGACGCTCTGGTGGCCCAGTCATCTCCCTCACGGTTGACCATTTTCGATTGTCCTCTTATTTTGTCAAATTTTATTTTCTACCGAGGAGCCTTCCCCTCCCTCCTACACGACCTGGATTAGGATCTAGACCTGTGGGCCTCCGTTGACCCTGAGAACAAAATAAACTTGATGGCTGTTCAAGACGCATAGATTCCACCAGAAAGTCAAGGTCATGAGATATTAAATGCATCCAGTCATCCCTTCCCATTGTGGACCATGCTTGACCTTGGTTCTGGCCCATTCTCGACCTTGACTCATCTGGGTCCTGACCCACTGTTGAGCCTCACTCACCTGGGCCCTGACCCACTGTTGACCTTCACTCACCTGGGC